CAAAGAAAATCTTTAGAATGGTAATATTATAGGAATCTTGGATGATAATATTAATAATTAAAGATTCGGTATAGTTTCAAAAAAACATTTATACATAGATATCTAATGAAATTTATATGAAGAATATTCTCATCTCTATAACCATTAAATTTTCATATTTTCCTACTAATGTAATGCTAATATTCAAATTTAAATAATTTTTCTACGTTATGTATATGTTATGAGTTTTATGGAATTTATACTTATTAGATCTAAATTGTATAGAACGGATGAACGGGTGGTATGACAAGATAATTTTATTTTTTCAGATTCTCTATGAGAGATAGAAAATGAATTAGTCTACTTCTTTTATAACTTATAAGGAGCATTATTCATTTTTTTTTTATTAATAAAATAACATTATAATAAAAATAAAAAGGAATAAAATAAAAGAATGTAAATGACATAAATACTATTCAAATCAAATTCATTAATTTGTATCTATTATTATTGTGATTGAATAAAAAATTTTAATAATTAATTTGTTCGTGTGGATGAGCCCTTAATACTAATTGAGTTATCTTTTTTTTTCCCTATGGGATTAATAATTTGATTTATAAACTCTGCATCGCACGGGCACTATGCTAGTTACTATTAATAAGTAGCGTGATTTACGGAGTATTATAATGGCCTTCTAAGAGTGAATAATAAAGCATCAATGACTAAACTTTAATGTCAAAATTTTGAAGTAGAAGCAAAGAAAATATTTAGAATGATAATATTATAGGAATTTTGGATGATAATATTATCCTAATATATTTCTTTTTTATGTTAATTTTTGGTTTAAAAAAAAAAAAAAACAAAACAAAACAAATACTAGCATTAAAAACATTGCATTTGAGTGTATCTGGAAAAAATAAATAAATAAAAACTTTTCATTAAGCTTTGACCAAAAAAAAGTGAAAAGACAAATGATGAAAAAAAAAAAAAAATATATATATATATATATATATGATAAAAAAAAATTAAAAAAAAAATCTAAAGTTGAGACAAAGATATTGATTATTTTGTGAAAACTTGAATGTTAATTGATTAATATATTTATGTAAATGATTTTTTGCTTTCTTATTTATTTATAGGACAATTACATAAAATTTTGGAAACTCACATGATTATGCAATATCATTTTTTTAGCTTTTAGGGGTAGTATGAGTAGTTCAAATGTTGAACACCAAATTTTCAATCCTCCTCCCCCCCCCCTAGCTTATACATGGTGTGACTTGACAATAGTGATGTCATAAAAGTATAATGATGTTATATAAATGATGTCATATACATAAAATGATGTCATATAACCATAATAGTGATTTGATTTGACAATAGTAATGGAATAATAAAGATTTTTTTTTTTGAAAACGATCAATTGTTTGATTGCAACACTTTTTCAAATGAAAATATTATTCACTATTTAATTTTATTTCTCTAGTTACATGGTCACCCACTCATACTCCGCTCACATTATTTATTATTTTCTTTCTCTGGCATCCTTTACATAAATTATATAGTTATTCTCACTTTTTTTTGACAAATTTTAAAAAAAGGCCGGTGTATAGTATATTACTGTATGGAGCGGCCCATTTGAGGATTTATGACCCTCTTTACGCGTGTTTGGTTTGGATTTTTTTTCTCCCTTTTTATTTTTTTCCCTAGTTACATAAGCAATATTTTAACAAATTCAATTAATCACATGAGACTGAGGGATAGCTCAAGTGATTAGAGCTTCCCTCTCGGTTTCAGGAAATCCTGGGACCGATTCTCACCCCCGCCCTTGTGATGCTCCAATGCACTATTCACGTACACCACTTTGGCGTATGTTTATGCTATATACAAAGTACATAAGATCAAATAGTCATATAAGTACGTATAAGCTAGATTTTGTTGGAATCGTCTCAATCTATAGTTTTCAAACATCATTTTTGTACTTGTATAATTTAAAATTATTGCTAATCAAAGATATTATTGGTTAAAATTAATTATTGGCAAATATACTGGTCAAACTAGGGCACTTAAAAAACACAAAGGGAATATGCTATTGGGTTAAGATTGCATCACCAATAACTTTGTGAGACAAACCCAAAATATAGAAATTAAAGAGAACAAAAATTCATCACTCGTACAACTCTATGACTTTTCTCTTTCCTCCTTCAGTTGTCTCCCCTCTTTTCTTCACCATCTCCCTTCAACAATGGCTTTTGTCAACAAACAACATTTCATCACAAATATCCTCATTCTTTGCTGAATCTAACAAAATTGTGCTTGAGAATCGCCCCGAAAGATTCTTGAAAGAGGTTCAGGCTGAAGCTCGAGCATTCTATGGCGCTTCCAAATCCCCACTGAAAACATTTGTTCTGAAATGTACTATTTTTTTAAAAAAAAAAACTTACTTAAAATATTATAACCTTAAAAATCATGTTTTTTTTTCGTGCAAGTGAAACAATCCCCTGTGTTAAGAAGAAGGCTATTTGGGCTTTAAGGTGGATTCATGGTGCTAATCATGGGATTGGAGTCATTAATGTAGTTGTAGTGTAATATTATGTTCATTTTGCAGAAATTAAATTCTTCCGCGCGCCTTTTCAAAATTAACTTCCTAAGTTTCATTTTCGGTTATTCTAAGAAGAACTTTTGTACTCCGTATTATTTTTTACGTAGTACTATAGTACGCAAACTTCGTAAGAGAATGACTTAAAGAAAGGGAAAGGAGAAGAGAAGAATGCAATTGTTTTTGGTTTACAAAGTTGTTTAATTTGTTTTAAACAAGAAAAGAAAACAACTTTAAACTAAATTAAAATAAAAATAAACCAACACCATACAACCACCAGTCCACGCACCACAAAACCACCACCACTTCATTTCTCTTTCCCTCTGTTGCCCCTCCCCTTCCCCCCAAACCATATCCTCTTCCCCAAAATCCACCACCCACCGCCCCCCCCCCCCCAAAAAAAAAAAACAACTCATACCCTCAAAACTCCCAGCCTCTAAGGTTTCGAGGGTAGGGGGGAGGGCGGTTGAGGGTTTCTAGCAATCAGGGAGGGGTTTTTCAAGGGGGAGGAGGAGTGGTTACGGGGTAGGAAATTGGTATTTTTATAGGTTAAGGGAGGACGGGGAGGGGTAGTGGGGTGAGTGGGTTTCTCGGTGGTGTATTGATGGGGGGTATGGTGGTGGCTAAGGAATGGGAATGTAGTTACCTAGGGGGTAGGGAATAAATTAGAAAGACACTGGGGTATGGAGAGGGTAGAGGGAATGGGAAAAAAAGGCTTAACAAACAACATCAAAGGGAATAAGGTAGAGGTGATCATTGGGCGGGCCGGGCCGGAGTTAAAAAATTATGCCCATTTCTCAGGCCGGGCCGGGCCGGGCCAAGCTTCAGGCCGGAATTTTTTATGCCCAAACCCGCCCAAAATGGTCGGGTCGTGCGGGCTTTTTGGGCCGAGCCTAAAAAATCAACTAAATATGCATAAAAAAGCATTCCCAAACCCGTACAAAAAAAAAATCCGGGTCGGGCCATACTTGATCAACTCTAGAATAAGGGCAGTTGAATCCCTTACCCTTTAATGAATGCCCCCAACCAAATAGTCCTTTAATGTATCATCTATTTAAGCTAGCTTATATTTTGCACGTCATATTTGTTCCCCCATTAAGCTGAGTAGCAAGCTTAATTTTTAAATTTAGCTCAAACTCAACATCCCAAAAATATGAGGAATTGCCATGTTCATGTCAAAATTAAATAATCCAATACTCCGGTATAACTTAATAGAATTTATTAAGATACTATCATACAGACATTTAATCACACTATCTAGTAAACAGATGATATCATGTAGACAAATGATCATACCCTCTAAAATTACTTTTTAAAAGGTAAAGAAATAATTCCTTTCTTTCAAATTAAATGAAACATTTTAACTTGTATTTTTTTTTTTAACTCCTTGACACTATTTATAAACTTTTTTTTAGTTAACTTTGTGATTTATAAATGTGTATATATATAATAAGAAAAAAAAAGTAATGTGTGATCTTATTAGATTCGTTTCAATTTGTAATGAATAAAAATTCAATTTTTAGTTTGTTACAATAATATAATTATGATGTTTTCAATTAAATTTTTGCATTGGCAAACTTGATAAAAGAAACATGTCATCTTATTTGTAACGGAGTAAGTATGAAGTAATAAGTACTCCTTCCGTATTTAAATAAGTGAAACATTTCTCTTGTGCACGTATGCCGCCAAAGCAAAAATTTTAATTATCAATAATTAAATATTATAACAATTGAATATTACGTAATAAACTATTCATTATTGAGAGGTTGAGACGATTTAAACAAGTACCCACAAAACTATATTCATTATTATGTATAAATCACAAACATTAGTCATAGTAAACTAGATGAATAATGTAAAAAGTCAAAACGTTTTACTTATTTAAATACAGATGGCGCAATCGTTATTATGTTATTTATCATATGTTGTTGAAATAGTCACAAATAAGGAGAAGTATTGGCACATAGCACATATTTATTTTGAAACAAATAGGATGGTTAAGTTGTAAATATTAACATGAGTATAAAGTACCATCAAATAGGTAAATAGTATCATTAAATGTTGTATTGGTATAAATATTTTTTAAAGGTACAAATAAGTATGTAAATTGTACATCAAATATTATACCGATGTGAGATATATATAAATAGTATTATTAAGACAACCTATAATCTAATGGTATAATATACATGCATAATAGTACACAAAAAATACATTATAACTAAAAAAAACCTTTATGAATATCAAATGACTATTTTACCCTCTTATGTGTTTCCAAAACACATAGAAGCTATGCGCCATGATGCACTCCACAAGCAAATCATAATGTCTACTTATATATATATTTTTTATTAATAATTTTTAGTAATAACTAATCAAAATTGTGTCTCACTAAATGTGTAAATCAAAGTTGAAAGGATTTTCTAAAAATATAGGTCTTAGGCCATATCTTTTTCCATTGGCAGTAGCCACTAGCCACCACGGTGGATTCAAGTTGGTTCATTGAACCCACTGATTTTATTTTATTTTTTTTTTTTATTTTTTTTTTTTGCCTTAACACTGAATTGAACAAATAGGGCACAAGGGCATTACAATGATTACAGATTAGAGGGAGCCTTCCAGAATTGAAAGACCCTCACTACCTCGAAACTTATTAGTCGCAGGCAACTCGAAGATATGGATCCACACAAATCTGCACAACCTCGTCGGTCATTACCTTGTGGGGGCATGCCATAACCATCCTTATCATATTCTAGCTTATGTAAAACAGAAATACTAGTGTGTTATATCACTCCCCTCCTGAAAATCCCACCAAATTGATCAACAAAAGCATTTATACTTCTGAAATACCCCCAAGGGATTATGTTCATACCAATTCCCCCTTCAATTTATGCATTCAAAATCTACTAATCTAGCAGGTACCCTATTTAGGGCATATACTAGTATACTAAAATCCCAATACATGCTGAATAACTGGTACACTGGTAGCACACTGTTATCATTTATTTACGCTAAAATTTAAGCATTGTGAGTTATTGTCGAGGCTTTGTTGTTATTGTTTGCGTTATTGCCAAGCTGATTGATCCTAATCAATCATATTCAATAATTCCAACAAATCGTTAGCTGCTCATTTGAATACAGGCTAAATTCAGCCCTAGATAAACCTCATAGCCTCCACCATCCGTTCATCATCCTTATAATAGAACACTCTGATCTTAACTTTCAATCTTAACATGTTGAACCAGCACCAGCTCAATAGATCAACGATGAATGCTGGTTTAGCAGGTGCTATCACCTTTAATAGTTGTACAACATCCTAAAAAAATTAGGGACTGAAGGAAACTGACTTTGTCTTCACCAACTGCACAAGCAAGCCCATGCCCCGAGTCAGAAAACAGAAAAGTAAAGAAAAAAAATACTCTCTAAGATATGGTCCTTAAGAAAACAGCAATTAAGACATGTATTTTCTTTCAAATTGACTTGTGTTAAATTGTAAAATTTATATTCATCTATTTAAACTAAATTCACTTAAATATCAAACAATAAACCAGCAGAGGTCATATTCGATTCATTCATGAAACCTTATCTCTTCATGGCGTAGTCACTTACGCTGTCATACACATCAAAAAGGTGCTTTAGGCAAACTATTGCCACACTTCAAAGTCCAAACTCCAAAATGCTACTTAAACATCCATTCAAAGCTAAGAACTGCAGATCAATAAACTTCATTCAAGAAAAGCCCCATCCTACAGGCTGTTCCATATCTACATTCCCAGAATAAGGAATCGATCAGACACATTGGCCACATCTTTCTCCAATTCTTTCTCCAGGTTTTTTAGTTCAGCTAGTTCTTCATTAAGCTTTGATATCCGTTTTACAACTTGTGCTTGGCAACTGAGTACCTCATCACGGAAATCCATCAATGGCTTGCTTTTGTGTAGTTGTACAGCCTTTTCCACGTAAGGAACTAACCAGCCTACTTTAAAATGCATACATTGCAGGTCAGACAATGTAGTGTTCAAGTAATCAGCTTGAGAATCACTCAAGGATCGAACTGAGGTTTCTTCCAGAATGAGAACCGCTGTTGCCAACAACTCTAATGCCCTAGAAACCATGTCGCCATTGCGGATGATGCTATTTTCTATCAAGTTTCCATGCTTAGACCATATATTTTGCAACGTCTTGACTAAGTTAGACCTTACATCAAGTCCTTTGAATTTGACAATTGAGTTATCACTTTTGTTGCTCTGCTGAAAAGAACACAGTGGGGACAAAAGTCCTATTAGCCATAAGAAATTTAAAAGCATAGACAAGTGCAATTTGATTTAGTACCTGAGAGGTTATATAATTGCTTGAGACATGGTGTCTACATTTGGTTTCCCCTGTCAAAGTTTTCAGATGGGGCACTGATCAACAAAAACAGTTCACAAAGCTTAATTTTCAATAATAATGAAAAGGTCTTCAATTGGAAAAACTTAACCTTCTTCAGCTGCATGCTCCAGTTCATTCAAGGCAGCCGTTCTCCTGACTCTCGCGCAGGTTGTAGATGTAAAATCCATCTCAGTGGTTGGTTCAGCAACTTCAAGTTCAGACATCACTGACAACGGTATCTCCATTCTTGTTAGTCTTTCTCGTGCTGCAGATGTTGAAGGCATTTCAATGTTTTTTTCTGCAAGTTCATGCAGATTTAGAGAGAATAGAGGTGTCACACCTCGTGAGATGCTTCCGCGTGTTGCAAAGGTAGAGGGTGCCTCAAAAATTTGTTCCATAAACACAGGGTCAAGCTCAATTGGAGTAGGGGATTCACCATCTTGACTGTCAGGAGTGTCAGCATCAGATTGAGTCTCTTCATCGTCCTTTGTTGCCCTTCACAAGCACAAACAAAATTAAATATGTAACTCAACAATCAAAACACTACCCCTTGTATGGTGAAAGGCATTCCACATAACAAAACGTACCTAATCGCTTACTTGTTTTTCTTGGTGGAACATGGAGAAAGTGTGTGAAATATAAGAAATAATAGCGAGAAAGAGGGGACCATACTTTTTGATCTAAAGTGAAGATAATGCGAGAAAAAGCGAGGAGATTTTGAGAGAATGAGACATTTGAAGTTTGGGATCTAGGCAACACTAAATAGTAAATACATAAATTTCAACCCCCTTGTCTTCAGCAATAGAGCAATGCTTATATATATGACTAGTCCCACTATTTGTTACATCCACTTTGATACGTCAACACTTATAAAGCTATATGTTTCAAGTTCATAATATTTATACAAATTTCAATAACAAATGACATGCCAAGCAAGGTTCTCGAACAAAAATAATTAAATACTTGGAATATGCAAACATCACAGCACATATTCTAAGAGCAGATGAGCAATTATATGATTCCAGCATGCCTCATGTTCTTTAAACACCAGATGCACAATTTGTCACAAAATCCAATCTACAATACCATTTATTGAATGACAATCCTCTTGGTTTCACTGTACTCAAATATACTCCAAAAATTCAACTTACAATCTATTTCACATGGACCAAATAATCAATCTTGTCCACACTATAATGCACAAGGCAAAGTTTTACCCCAAAGTAGATCCTAATTGCTATATGATGTAGTACAGTCAGCCTACCATGCTAGAGGTGACAAAGGAGATTAATATTTAAAATTGTCAAGGAGATGGTACCCTTTTAATTTACAATGTCAACACATCTAAAATTTTTTATAAGAAATTAATCCATGTCTTCTACTTTCCAAATCATCGAGTGAGCAAATCTCCATTAACAAACAATAATATAATAGCAATGTAATCCCTAAATCCTTAATACATGGGTAGAGAGTGAGAGAATCTAGAGACACATGCATAATATGTCTCACAAAAATAAGTCCTTAAAACAACACTTTTGCCCAATTCATACCTTAAAAATATGTTTTCAGATTATTCTCAAACCTAGAGTAAATGACCCCTACAGATTTCAGTCACATAAAATGGCAATAATCCAATTTCTAGAAAACCTTTTTTGGGACCTGAGAGCAAATTAAGGCTGATTGCAGAAGACAAATGGAAGATGCTATGTGTACAAGAGCTTTTTTAGAAGTTCATTACAAGATATTAATTGGAGGCACAAAATTGCATGGGAAGTAGTAAATACTGGAACACAATTAATGCTGAACAAAGAATGTGTTAATTTAACTCAAGGAAATGTCACTATCAGCATAATCACTGGAATGATAGACAGCAGTTACTGCACACATCTCGCAATCTATGCCAGGCAAATGTTACAATTTGATGCCAAAAAATGAAAAGGTGAGGCGAAACTTACCGTTTGGGCATACACGCATTTGATGGTAGCCAAGTCGGAGGTGGCTAGAACACCCCAGATAGATAAGATGCCAAATTTTGACAATCACCAAGCATAAAATTGTAAACAAAAAGTGAATCATCATAATCGCGAACAGGAGAACTATATGAAGTGAAACAACCTCTATAAAAGACAATGCAATTGCCTTTCCATCCTTAAAAATCCTCTGCTGAGGCAAAGAAGCTCCCGTCAAAAGTTACAAATAGTATTTTATCATCGCCAATGCCTTCAACTTCATCCCATTTTGTCTCGCCCTCGTTTAACTTATAAATGGTAAAAGCTATTCCATCTCTTGTTCCACGCTTACACCATCTATATATTAAATACAGTTCTTGATTATCAGTTGATACAGCTAGACGTCTAATTTTGGTTGAAAACTCAGGCAATGGATTTTCTATGAAGAGCAACAATGATAAGGTATCGTAATCCATCTTATAGGCTCTACCTCTGCGGTCAATAGCATAAATCTTTTCTTTAAAATTAATTACATCATGAAAGTTCCTCACCTCTAGAAAGGTTCCCTGGAAACTCACATCCAATTCTTGCTTGTCTTTAAGCCTTATTGCACATAAAGCCCCTCTATGATGTAAAACAATGGCAGTACAATCACCAATTGTAGGGTAAGTTTTACTACAATTAGGATTTACAAACAAAACCACCCTTTTATCATTGAAATCAGGAAGACCCTTCTTCCCAAACATATCCCCAGGGGCATCAACAAACCTTAACCTATGGAACACAGCCATCTCACATACTTGAATGTACGATAAATCCAAATTCCTAGGGAAACCAAAGGGCAACAATCTAATGGCAATTGGTGAGAGCAATCTGCTGACAAACAACTTTCCAAGGTGCAACTCTTCAGCAGTGAAAAACCAGGGTGGGAGCTTGGGATCAATTGTTGATTGAAAGAGTAAAACATAACTCGCCACTAGAACCGGTGAGAAAGGACCACTATCATCTAACCAACTTCCAGCACAGGTTGCTAGAGTGTAGGGGAAATAGGGGATAATATATTCTTTGAGGTGAGATCATGTAATGTGATTGATCTCTTCCATGCCTTACAAACTGCCCGGAAGTTCTGGGTGTCGGATCGACTCTCAAGGCATGCAGCAATTTTTGACAACAACTCCGGGGGCAAGTCTGACCAAAATACTCGCCCACGGCTCATTTTGGTGAAGTTAATTGAGTCCATTAATAATGCTCCTTAAACACCAGTGTTCAATGTACCCCTTCAGAATTCATAAACCAAAGATACACCATATATCAGATGTTGCAACATATTCTTAAAAATTGTGCTTTGTAAATATGAAATGGGAATCAATCAAAGACTCAATTTTGTCATGGCATTAGGATATTGACTCTGTAGCACTGATTTCAGACAATAAATATAAAAAAGAACAATTATAAATTCAAGGAATTAAAAGCCAAAAACATTAACGGAAAGCTGATAAATACAAATACACAAAAATGGGTTCAAAAGCTAACAAATTGGCATGTAAAATTCATAGAAAAAACAAGTGAAAAGCAATGAGAATGAAAATAGTGGGGAATTCAAATTAGAAGTGAAAATGAAGTGGAAACAAATAATGAGAGTTTTGGAAGATATCCTTACCAGATTACAACTTCAAATTCTCCTCAGATTAATTTGCAAGGGAAGAAGCAACGAATTTGACCACATTTCCTCATCTTCAATTTCCTTATTTCTACTTGGAAATCTAAATTAGGGTAATCGAGGAATAGCAGGAAGAAATCCTGAATTTGGAGGGAAGGCAAATGGTTTTTTCATCCGAGTATTCATTTTACTATTTTGAGGTGTTCGCTCTTTTTTATTTTAATATTTATTTTTATTGGTAAGGAACATCTAACTAAACCTAATCCTTATGGTTTTTAAATTTAGTACTTCATCCGTTCAATAATATAGTTTATATTGTATTTATTTTCACAGTATTTTAGAAATGGAAGGAGAAGTAAGAGAAGTATATTAAAAATGGACAAAAACTTGACAAAATAATTAGGCAAGTGGATAATTTAAGGGGGAAAAAAGTAAAAAGTACAATTATAGACAAAAGTTAGAGAGAGAAAGTGGAAAAAAGTACAATGCAGGTGGATAATTTAAGGGTAAATTAAGAAGTTCAATGAATAAAGTTAAAAAAAATAAGGGTACAATGGTCGTTACATACTATCCAAAAATAGAAATAGGAACAATATTTTGGGTCTCCAAAATAAGAAAACAGGAACTATATTGTGGGACGAAGACAGTAGTTATGAGCTAAACACTTAGGAGTCAAGGGGAAGGTAAAAGAATCCTTACCTTGGTAGATTTAAACCCCATAGGTAAGAAACTTACAAAGTGAGCCAACACTTTAGGTGTGCGTTCAAATTACTCGTCTTAGGCCCCTAGCCCACACACGATATGTATTACTCTCTCAGTTTCTTTGCTAAACAAGTTTTGGGTTTATTGAGCTCTAAGATAATTTTTTTTTCTATAGGTTAAATTTCAAAACATATCATTGATACAAATATTGTTATGTAAGATGTATATATCACTTTTGATTCAAGATATTTTGACGTAGTATATCATTATATATTATAGAAATACATATACACTACATATGAGAAAAATATCTATGTAATTCGAATTTTATAGTCATGGTACTTCATATGTCCTTATTTTTCTTTGCCTCATTTGACTTTTCACGGTTTTCAAGACATGTTTTAAAACGTATATAACTCTATTTTTATAAACGTAAAAGTTGTAAAAAAAAAATAAATAAATAATAAATTAATATTTAATAAGTGTTTTATTTGTCCACTTATCATGGCATTTTAAACTCGATTTTGTAGTCATTTTCCCCCCACTTTAATCTCTTTTTAACTCCTTTTGAGCATGATTGTAGCTTTTGGCTTTCCCATTCCCTTTTATGTGTGTTCGTATTTGTAGATGCAGCGAGAAATTAAGTATTTAGCATGAACATGAAGACTCCCTTAAGGAGACATGCATCAAGGAAGGAGCGGGTGTGCACCAAGAAAGGAGCGGCCGCTCCTATTGGAGGCATTACAATCTGCCTCTCTCTGTTCCCAGCAGGAGCGCGCGTGCACCATAGGAGGAGCGGGCGCTCCTCCCTGAGCTTCTACAATATGCCTTAGCTACTGCTACCGGAGCGGGCGTGCAAGCTAGCTAGGAGCGGGCGCTCCAAGCAAAGGAGCGGGCGCTCGTTGTTTGAAACCCGGCGTTTTGACGGATTTCACTAGGCAGCCACTTGGGAGTATAAGTACAACCCTTGGCTTCCATTTTACAGATCTTCTTTTCCTTTAGCTCCCTTGGGCTCTTCTCTCTTAGTTAGTGCTTAGAATCCTCATTAATTAGCTTATTTTCTCTCAAACTCAATCATTGTAATAGGTTAATTGAAGTTTGTTCTCTTAATTTCAACAATTCCTCAACTTTGAAGCATCTTAAGTAATCTCTTTCCTTTATCTCTTACTCTTTATTTTCTGTTTTTAATTGCTTTATCTTATTAATTTCTTCTCTTGATCTTGTTTATTTATTGTTGCATGTTTAATCTACTTCCATCTTATCACTTCTCTCAACTTGTTAGATTGAAGTTGAACTTAGATATTGTTGCTAGGATGTTGAACACCATGGTTAGTGAGTAGTTTCTTAATTAGCTAGGGGTTGGGAAAAGACCTAACCAAGACACGGGTTTATTGATCTTTGTGCTTGCATGTTCATTTTGGGTTGATGATTGATTGTTAAATGATTGGTTAATTGCATGTATAATTGGAGGACCAGGCCACTTATTGCTCATGTTTCACTTCTATGCTTGCATTGAAAGATGAGGTCTAGTTGTGAGCCTTTTCTTGTGTGATTATGTTAAATTCCTCTTGATTGCGGTTCCTTGTTTGGATGATGTAGTAGTCTTAGTTGTGATAATTAGGTGAGAAACCCCCAATTACTTGTGCCTTAATGCTTTCTCGAACCGATCGAAAGACAAACCTGAGTTAGTAGTATACTTTCTATCATTGAGACTTGGTTGGCCTATCTTGTTAGTTGAGTTTGGTTTAGGAATGCTTAGTGTTGTGGCTTCGAAAGAAGACAATGTTGAGTGCCCTTTCTATCACCCAATTTGTGTTCATGTTTGCCTATTGTATTGATCTATTGGTTCGGTTGGTGTTGATTCCCATTTCCCCCTAGTGTTTGTCTCCGTATTAGTTAATTAATCAAAACCCCAATCTTGTGACTGAACTAGCTTACAACCGTTTCATAATTTTGGTGTACTCATACCCATTCCCTGTGGATACGATCCTCTACTTTCCCTAGTCTTGTCTTAGGTTGGTTTAGGTAGAAATATTGTTTGGCTTTAGGGTATTCGACCAACGACTGATTTATCCTCTACCAATAATGATAAAATATACAACAAGACGAATCTAACAAGACCCCGCCATAACCATATTATCTTTTATTGATTAATGGAATTTTTTTTATTTTTTTTATTATTTTTTTTTACAAAGGCAAAGGAAGAAAGCAAACTACAAATAATTAAACATGTTAACCCGACAGTTCCTAGCAATGTCATTCACTCTCCAAACTTGATTTCGCTCAACCTTTAGAACTGTGCATCTTTGGAAGGACGCCCCCACTTCCCTTAATTCCTTTAGCAACCAAGAAATAGAAATGTCCTTGCCAGAGCTCACCCGTAAATTGTCCAGAAGGCCGGTGGAGTCAGAAAAGATCAAGATTCCTTGCCTTCCCTTATCCCGAGCCCATTTCATTGCTTCAAGACAAGCCCAAGCCTCGCACTGAATGGCTGAGGTTGCTGCTCCGTGTTTGCCCCCTTCCTTAAGAGCGTAGCCTAAGGGGTTAATCTTAACAGCCCATCCAATTCCAGCTCTCCTCGACGTCTTATCCCATGAGCCATCAGCTTCCACAATGAAGTCATCGTAGCTACATTTTTCCTTCCCCGGGTGAACGTGGTTGAAACCCGGGGGGATAACTTGGTCATCTCTATCCACGGTGTAATACCCCGTATTTTTTAAAGGTATTTTCTAAATTAAAGAGTATTTTAGTCTCGTATTTTTGACGTATTATCTAAATTAATTATTTTCCTAAAGAGTATTTTAGTTTTGGAGCCAAAATGATATTTGAATTTTGGCACCTAAATCATTATTTTACAAAACTAATTAAATTGGATAATCCAATAAATGAAACTATTTTATACTTATGTTATAAATAGTATTTTTGATTTCTCAAAATTAAATAGCTAAACCGAAATTATATTAATTCGGTAGATTAATTGAATTATATTTTCGGTTTTCATAGAATAAAAATCTAAATTGTTTTAATATCTTTCCAAATTAATTATTTTCATGAAATATATTTTTAAAGAATTAATTTTCAGATTTTATATAATAAAAATCTGATTTAATTAATTATTATAAGTCAAATTTTCGGCCACCCCAATTATTTAATAAAAATCTGATTTTATTCTTTCAAGTATTAATTTTCACAAAATAAAATTTATTGGATTATTAATTTTAGGAAAATAAATTATTTTACAAAATCCCTAAACTAACATAAGAGGACCGAAAATATTGAACAATATTTAACTCAATATTTTCGTCCACTCATGAATTTTCTAAAGGATTTTTAATTTATTTTATTAAAAATAAAATCCTTTAAATTTCCTTATTTCTATTCTTAAGTCTAAAAATTATTTGATCCTATTCTATACTTGCACTCTAAGCTCAAAACCTACCAAACAAAATATCATGATCAAATAAAATCTAATATCCTTCCATACATTTAAAACCCTAATTTCTATTCTTTAAATTTCCATAAATTATACAGCCCTAAATTGCTATAAACTCATCACCTAAACACCTATAAATACCCCCTCATACCTCTCATATTCTTCACACCAAAAACACAATTCCATTCTTTTCTTTTACTCTTCTTTTCCCTCAAACTTTTCCTATTTTTTCTTTTCCTCTTTTCTAAAAGAAAATCTGCCCGTATATCTTTGGAGCCAATTTTCGGGAACTTCTGGTCAGTTTTTGGATTTTTTCTATTTCACAAAAAAATAATTCCTCTTGAAAAATACTTGAGGTTAGGCTCAAGAATCACCCAATTCGGAGTTATATCAAAGGAGTTATGACCTCTCCAAGTTCTGCCTATCCTTTCCAACGCAAATTCAATTTCCTTTAATCTTATTCCTTTATTTTCTTCATGGTTAGTTTTCTAAAATTTAATTACCTATTTCACAGTTATAATTTTATATTAAAGTATTATTTTTAAAAGAGTTTTATAGTCCATACACATTAGATTTGGGTTTATGTCTAAAGATGTTGTGATAACCGTATGGTGATGTTAATTGCAAGGTGTATTCGTGATTGAACTTTGAAAGTGCGAAGTGTTGATTGATATTCGGAATTAAGGTACGTTATGTGGTTTGATACCTTCGAAAGTTGTCCATGAAATTGAATCTTATTATGTACCTTATAAAATTATGTTTCATGATGGTTTGAATTAATGATTTTTGGTTAATCAAAATAGACTTTGAATTATGATTAAAATTATTAAAAAGGATTGGATTAAAATTGATTTACAGGTTTCTTAATATTCTAGAATAATGGATTTTTTTTAAAAGGTGCTTTTAAGTAAATCAATCGATAAAATAATGGATTTTTTTTAAAAGGTGCTTTTAAGTAAATCAATCGATATGGTTATGAATCCCACTTAGGGAATGGATTAGAGAAGACTATGGACTTTGCATGACCTAGTCTTTCCTCAAGATTGGCCTTTGTTCATAAAGTAAACTACTTGGGGGTGTGCACACTTAGTGAGGAAATGGTTTTGGAACGTAATCGATTGAGTTTTAAACTTGTCTTAAAAGCATTGAATTGGAAAAGCTCTTACATGAGTATGGCATTGGAATTCTTTGAATTAAACTTAAATGATTTAAATTATATTTTACTTATCTTACACATAACCTACTTAGCATAATTGCTAAAACGTGCTTTTGTTTTGGCTTTGCCCTGTTTACCATTTATGGTAAGCAGGTGAATGTTTCAGGTGGAAGTTGATTGATGCATACGGTAGTCCACGGGAATTTCACCTAGCTTAGGAAAAGTTGGAGTCGTTTTTGTGTCACAATTTATGTTCAAGTTTATTTAAAGTTTTATTAATAAGAATAAAGAATTTCCGCTGCAAAAGTATTTTCAAAGTATGAGCCTTGCGTTATCACGCGGCGGTAATACGCCCAAGTCTATCTCTACGGTATTTATACGTATTTTCTACATATTCCGTAGAGGGAGATTTGGGGG